TATATATATATATAACTGTAATATAGACACACCGGACCGAATGAAGCAATGTAAATATGGTGAACCGGGCCTCAGTGAATACTGACTATTCCCTGACATTGTATTTACCAGAGAATCAATCAGTTATTAAAGAAAAATACTCTGGGATGTATTGATAATGAAAATAACTGGTGGCTGCAGCTTGGAGTTGTTTTATGATGGATAATAGTTGAGTCTGTCAAATACGTGACACACAGACAGTTAGTTCATCAGTGTGGTAAAGCTGAGTGTAGCTGGGTTTGTATTATGAGAAGCCTGATTCAATGCCTGTGGCCTGTCAGGTGAACGAGGTTATTGATCGAACAGTCCTGATCACATGAAGATCAGAGGCTTCAGTGCTGCTGCCTGTTCCGCTGCTTGTTTTGTGGGTCATTTGTTCTGCTGTAGAAATCAGTAGAGCTCTGTTCACACACCATGATTTCATCTCAGCACCTGGGTCTGTGCTTACGGCTTGACTGCAGTAGAAACGGGGGAAGGACCTGTGTTTCTACTGCAGCTGTAAACTCCTAGTAGAAACCTGTGTTTCCTACTAGGAGTTTACAGCTGAGAAAACATACTAGTCAGACAAAACAAAGCGTTTACAGACATTTGACTGGGTTTTAGGAACTTGTGGATGAATAGTTTTACCTGGTTTTGCCATTTTATGGACTAAACTTTTAATAATCAAAAAACAAAAATCCATTTTGATAATAACATTAAATGTGTGTAGGTGTGCGTCCACTTTGAATCAGCAAACTCTTAATAAAATTAAAACCTGACAAACTTTATAAGCCTGTAATAATGTGGCTATGCTGAAGGTAGCAGGAAGGAGAACTGTGCTGCCGTGTCTGGCAGCTGCTTCCTCTGCTCTGACTGCGGCCGGTGAGTCTTCACACTAGTCCCAGGCCGTAGTCCGTGTCCTTGGGCGGTCCTCCACAAGCTGCGGAGTGTGAGTCAGTCTGACAGTCAGCACCAACAGTGACTCAGGTCTTTGCTTCACTGGGGATTCACAGCACAGGGTCGTTCCAGTTTATTACAAGTCTTCTTCTGGTAGTGTCCGTCACTTCTGTAAATAATAATCACGTGTGCCTTTGTGGAGTTAAAACCATGTGAGGGTGGCTGGGCATACCTGTGCCTGAACCAGTTCAACTTTGGCTCTTTTTACCTGGGATTTCCAAGTCCAGTGTTTGCTCTATCAGGGTTCATCTCAGCTGCTATGTTGATCCTTCATACCCGGACTGGGTGAAGTTACTTACAGAGAACATTCTGCTTGTTTGGAGTCAGGATTAGTCTTTCATTAGAGTTAAACAACTCATTGTGACATGGTTTAATAGTTTTTCTGATGGACTTTAGTATCTGTGGTTGAAATTAATTGACTCTCCTCCCTGTACTCTTCTGGTTTGTTCATGGTTGGTGGCTTGCTCCTGGGCTGGTGCTGTGCTGATGGACTCTGCTGCTGAACTGGATTTTATTCTTCAGTTTTTCCTTGCTTCTTTCTGAAGGTTGTATCTGTTTTCTCATTTTGAAAAGAAATGCCAATCAAAATGTATATAACAAAAATAATAGTCACATCATATGTACCAAGTTAATTTCCAAGATCATGTGAACACGGTGCTGTCACTGACTATAGACCCAGAAACAGACAGTCAGCTGACTGTGTAGTTTTTTTCATCATTCATCCTCCACATCAGCAGCCACAAAGACACAGTCTGACACAACCTTTGGTAAAACATTGAGTTGTCGTGTATACACCTAATTTCTGTCCAGATTAAACCACCCAGATATAAACTGTTTATCAGTTTTTATCAGCTGCTGCTGCTAGGTGGGCCTGTTGCACAGAGCTGTTTGCAGTCTTGATGCTAAGCTAAGCTAGCTGCTGGTTGTAGCTTTATATTTAGCATCCAGACATGACGGCAGTACCAGTCTTCCTTCAGGTTCATTTGTATAATGAAACTACAGATGTGGAGACCGAGTGGGAGGCCCCAGATAATCCTGCCATACTTCTGTGATGAATCAGAAGGGATTCACCTGGATGCACCTGTTTACAGCAGAGGGGCTGAGCACTGCTTTGAAGTGAGAGTCGACTGATGAGCAGAAATGTCAGTTGTCATCCATCCATCTTTTATCATCCCCTTATCTGGGGTCAGGCTGCGGTGGCAACAGGCTCACTAAGCTTGTCCGGACATCCCCCTCCCCAGCATCATGCTCCAGCTCCACCGGTGGCATTCCGAGGCCAGATGAGATATGTAATCTCTCCAGTGTGTTCTGGCTCTGCCCTGGGGTCTCCCACCAGATGGATGTGCACAGAAGACCTCCACAGGGAGGCATCCTCATAAGATGCCCGAACGACCTCAACTGGGGAGGCAACAGTGGTGTGGTGGGTAGAGTAGTCCTCTCCCAACCGGAAGGTTGAAGGTTCGAATCCTGGTGCCTACAGTCCACATGTCGAAGTGTCCTTGGGCAAGACACTGAATCCCCCCTGTTGCCCCTGATGGTTAGAGCCATCAGTTGAGTTGGCGCCACAGATGGCTGCCTCGGTTCTGTACCGGAAACAAATTCCTTGTGTGTAACATACTTGACCAATAAAGGTGATTATCCTGATTATCCTTAACTGGCTCATTCGCATCTGGATGCCCGAGCTCTGTACCCTATCTCTAAGGGTTACCCTACAAAGTAAACTTGTCTTAATGTGGTGGAGAGGTCTGTGCGCCCCGTGATCCTGGGAGCTGTGTTGTCTGGGGCATTAGCCCCTGGTAGGGTCTCCCAAGGCAAATTGGTCACAGGGGGAGAGGCTGCACTAAGAGATTCAAAAACCCTGATGAAAATGGTAACTTTAGTTACGCCACTTCACCTGGACTGGGGAAACTGGGGCACCCTGCTGGGAGCTCCCCACCGAGCATTTGTTGCCTGGGCCTTGGCCCACGGGATCTGGTCTGGCACAGCCCACCACCACCCTGTAGACCCACCAGCAGAGTTCAGGGAGACGAGGCAGAGCCCGTGTCTCTGCTAGCTGCTATGAACACACTGAGATCAGCCTGCAGCTTCAACAATGTGCAGAAACAACAGATGGAGACAGATCCATAGCAGCAGGTCGTTCACTGCAGAAACTGTATGACGTGACTGATGGCAGTGTCACTGCCTGTGGTTCACACTGTAACAGACCCAGGTGATTACAAGTCCTGGTGAATATCTAATGTAGCCAGTGAAACCTCAAGACACTCCACTGCTGCACATTTCTGATATTTTACATGTAATTCAGTCAGTTGTACAGACAGTTTACTATTGTTGTGCACATATGTGTTTGTGTATCTGACTGTAGGGCTTGAGATAGGAGGAGACCACAGGAGGCATCCCATCTGCCTCCACTGTACAGACTGTACAACGGGTTGCATGAATGTGTTCAGACTGCAAAGGTGCGAGTTGTGTGAAACTGATGTGCCTGTGAATCCATAGCCAGAATGTGTGTGTGCATGTTTGAAGATCAAAAAATAAGCTTAGGTTTCCTCATTCTCACATAGGCCCAGTGGTGGAAGGGAACTAAGTAGATTTGCTAGTAGTGTTTAGAGTAGCTTTGAGGTGGGCTACAAAGTGTGGACCCAGTACTTCGTCCTGGGTCAAGTCTTTGGGTTTCCAGGCTTCCAGTAGCTGTCACCAGATGTCTGGTCCTGCAGGGAGGCTCAGGTCCATTTGATGTCTTTAAGCTAAATCCTTCCATCAGGTCACTGCTTTGTTTCACGAGATGGGCCTGAAGGCCCCCCCAACTGACACATTCACTCATTGTGCACATGACAGGAGCGACACAGGAGGTCACATGGGCTACACAAGGAGCCTCACCTTTTCATCAAGGTATTTAGCAAATCACATTAAAACCCAGTTCCATAAACTGGATAATAATCTGCATTAAAAACTGGAACCTACTGGGGGTTTCCAGGTCTCAGAGGTTCTAGTGGGCCTTGGTGAAACTTTAAGGCTTCTTCAGGTGGTTACATGGAGACTTTGGAGCAGCGTGGTAGCGTTCTTCATCATTGCCATGTGATCAGTATTTCAGTGAATATCTTTGCTCCCTGTCTGCTGTCTCATTCTGCCAGTAATGGCAGACCCCTGACTCTCCATTGTGGACTTTAAACCTTTAACTCTGGTGGCTCATTCAGCACTGAAAACCCAGGCCCATCCCATCCTGATCTGGACCTGCTGGCTTCTTACCTGAAACCCCAGGTAAAGAACCTCGGGGTATTCCTGGACAGTGCACTTAAGATGGCTAAAGAGATCAACTCATTTGTTAAGGCGAGCATTTTTCAGCTAAGACTGTTACCTAAAATGAAACACTTCCTGTCCTTTTGTGATTTTGAGAAGCATTTATTAGTTTATTGTAACACTCTATATTTTGTGATTTCTCACATTTCCCTCTCTCGCCTTCAGTTGGTTCAGAACACTGCTGCTCGCCTTCTAACTCTTGAAAATGAGATCACATGACCCCCATTTTGGCTTCTCTACACTAGCTTCCTGTTTGTTTTAGGATCATGTTTAAGATTTTATTTGTTTTTAAGGCACTGCACTGTTTAGCGCCGTCTTCCATCTGAGCTTTTACACTTCTTTATGCCACAGAGGTCTCTCAGATCTTCTAATCTTTCGTTGCTGGTTGTTCCTAGATCCAGGTGTTTATGGTAGCAGCTTGCAGACTGTGGAATAGCCTTCCCCCAATGTCCGGTCATTTTCTGATTGGGCTGTTTCGTTCCCGTCTGAAAACGTACCTATTCGGTCTGGCGTTTGATGCAGGCTCCTCATTTGTGTTCTCTCTACGGGTGTTTCATTCTTGTGTGTTGTTTTTACTGTGAAGCTCTTTGTAACCTCGGTTTAGATCGGTGCTATAAATAAACGTTTGCTTGCTTGATCTGTGTTCACCCTCTCATCCAGGTCAGGGCTCTGACACAGTGTCACCGAGCCCCACCAACTATTACATAACTGCCATAAAATGTAAAACAACCCAACGTGGCTCACGACTCGTCTCCCTGGTGCCAGCGGAGAGAGAGTTTGGGTGATCCAGCTCACTTTCTCAGATGATGAGTGACAGTGCGCCGGCTTCTTAGCACAGTTGATGTATTTTTAAAATGGGATATGCAGCTATAAATGGAGCAGGACTTCTGTCAGCGTCTCAGAGGCTGCTGCAGCACTGTCCTCTGCCTCACTCTGGAACAACAGGATCACTGAGGCGGCTGTGGGATAGCAGCTCAGTCTAAGACCTTAACACCTCTTTAAATGGACCTTTTCAGACCCAATCAATAGAACAGCTGACAACAAACGAGGCGAGTGTCGTGTCAGTAAGGCAGTGATTCCTGGAGGCTCCAGCCTTTTGTGTCCAGGACACAGACGAGCAGCTGCACTGTTGCACGTGTTGTTGCTGTTGCAGCAGCATCTGTCAGTGGCTTTAGTGCACGCTCAGGAGGTGCTAGATGTTCTGGTTGTCTGGTCTGAGAAGGAGTACGCTACCACTGTGCACCTTTTGACCTGCCACACTATTCTGTCTTACCATTTCTGCGGTCGTTTTCACGGTCAGTGGCCAGCGGTCGCACATAAACAGCCAGAAGTTAGACAACTCTGACCTTTCATGTCATTAGAATATGAAAACCACTTGGGTGACGGCATTATAGTACAAATCCACAAAGCGAGGCAGATGGCTGGTGACACCAGATCCTTACAGTAGCGACTTTCAGTATAAGTAACTTAAATAAATTTAATAAAAATTAAATTGAGTACTTTTCTCTGTCGGTGCCTCGGAGTTGCCTTCTGTTTGAATTTGTATTTTTCTTGGCATTTTCTTCCATGTGTTCAGTCGGCATTTTAAAAACACCGAAAATCTCTTCGGGTGAACTTGGATTGTTCGGAGAGAGTCCCGGCTGATCGTTGAGGGTTGGCAGCCCTACTTCGGCCTCCTGTGTGAAATCTGTCAAACACTACAATGACCATGAAAACAGCAATTAGATTTTTATTAGAAACTGGCTGAAACCAGGACATGATTTAATGTTACAAATAGAAAGTTCAGTTAGCAGTTTAGCGTTTTGGTGGCACGCTGGCAGCCACAGACTTTCCCCATTAGGAAGTTAAGTAAGTTTCTTCTCTTGGGATCATAAAGGTTCCCAAATGTTTTCACACTTTGAACCAAAATGCTGGAGGGGCAACTTATTACTAACAATACCACTGTGAAAACTTAATTGTAAATTATTTAAAGACAGTGTTTAACAACTCGGGTGTTTCCACAATCAAAATCAATCTTAAGCAGATCAAAGCAAACCAGGTTAATTCTCACATTAGATTAACCTAATTCAATTTATGCCTGGGAAATTAAATAAAATGCCAATACGCGATGTTTCCTCATTGTTGTTAAAGTAGACACTCCTAATTGTTTATCTTGTCACAGGACTTCACCCTCAGCATGTGCATCTTGTTTCCACTCCACCCAGATATAAATGTGAATGATTCAGAGAAGTTCCTGTTCTTGATGCTCATCACTTCTTGTCACACCGAGCGGTTTTACAGGCCGGATAGAGTCTGACACAGTATTGATCCTGACACAGTGCCACTAATCCTGATCAAGGTCGTCAAAGTCTGGATGAGCGCTGTGTGTGGTGTGTCATCTGACAGCTGAGACTGAAAACCTAAACAGGATCTGGTGCAAGAAGTGAAAGTCGGCTTTAGTCTGACAAATAAAGTCACACTGTTTTATTACAGTTCATTATTCTACTGTGGCTTTTGTTCAATCTAAAGTAATTTCCCTTTATGACCAATAAAGCGGCTCATAAATGATTCACACACACACACACTCACTCACCGTCAAACACTTTTATTTTGAAAAATGATCAAACACCATGAAATACAAGAGTGTGAAGGCCCTGAGCTGCAGCCGATTGATATGATCCCAATGCGTTCCTGATGCTACCGACATGTCGGCCACCTGCCCTCCATCATCTCGAGCTGCTCTGCTACTTCTTTATGGCCGAGACACCTGCTTGCCGCCCGGCAACTGCTGCTAAGCAACCAGTGAGAGGATGACATGGCATTAAGTTAAACTTCCTTTTAGAGCAGCTGTTCATGGTCTCAGGCCCATCGAGCAGAGAAAAACCCCAAAACCACAGCACAGACCCAATATTACTGTTGATTCAGTTTTAATGTGGTAGAGCAGGACACACTTGGACAGAGTGGTTCAGTGTTTTTTGAGTTTTGGTCCAGTGAGGAGGAGTATGTTTGATGGCATTTTACTGGGTCTGATTCTGCTTATCAGAGCCACATCTGTGTGAATCCCTTACCAAGTCTGTTTCAGTAGTTTGTTTGGTGGGTGATTACAACATCTGTCAGTTACAACGGCTGTGTTTATTTTCCTCAGCGCAGTAGCAGAGAGCAGACAGCCTGACACTGAGACCAGCTCACGGCCACTGTGTGAGCTGGAGGTTGGTAGGGCTTTGGCTCAGATCCTCTCACTGCTCTGTGACACTCGTTACCCTGTGCTCCTCAATGGGGGGGCTGTGCTGCAGCTGCCCAGGTCACACTAACATTCATCCTACTGTATCAGCTCAGTGACCCTCTGATGTTCTGCTGCACAATGTGCTGAGCTGCAGGTGAGCTAGTTGTTGCGCTGCTACAGGTCCCAGACTGACACTGAAAGACTGTTGGATGATGTGTTGGTTTCTGTGCTTCTTTTTTTGCAGGTTGTTTTAAGGATGACCGCATTGTGTTCTGGACCTGGATGTTCTCCACATATTTTATGGAGAAGTGGGCTCCTCGACAGGACGACATGCTGTTCTACGTCCGCAGGAAGCTCTCCTATGTCAGCACAGACAACACAGAGGGCAAGAAGGTGACAGGAGATGAATTTCTAAGCAGCTTTAAAATGCAAATTAACAACAGGAAAAGGGGAAAATGAAAGGTGAACAAATACAGTTGATGAAGTGGTAAATAAGAGAGCTTTCTTCCTATATGCTATATATATATATATTTTAAGGCAGCAAATCACAAGACATCAAGTCTGCTCCACGCTGCATGTCTGTTTGACTAAAAGTGGTCTACTGTAAACATACGAAGTCTGACAGCAGCAAGTTCAAGGTCAAAGTGTTTATTTGTCATATACACAGTTAGGAAACATGTTTCCCTGTACAATGAAATTCTTACTTTGCTGTCCACACGAATGCCAAATGAAATATAAAGTAGATAAATAAGTAACACAAAATCTAAGGCACTTTAAGCAGCAAATGCAGCAATATAATAAAAATATATAAGAATATAATAAGAGAATGTATGCTGCATGTGCAACAGTCAATGTGCAATTATGCATGGCAGAGCTGAAGGATGCCCTGAGCAGCTGCCTGGTTAACCACTGTAACCCTCAGGTCACCCAGCTGGAGCTTGCCTACCTGACCTTTAACCTTTTACCTCCAATGTCTCTTTATTCCACCCCGTGTGTCTTGTCTTATGTAAAGCACCTAAATTCACTGGAAAAAGGAATGCGTGTCGGAGTTCAGGTTTTCAAGTGATACTTTGTACTTTAGTCAGCTTTTCATCATGAGGGGGGGGGGGGGGGGGGGAGGAGAGAGGAAGGGAGCACTGAAGAAGGGAAGAGACAAAACGAGAAATAAAAGCAACTTACTGAAAAAAATTAGAAACAAATTAAAGACACACAATGAAATGAGACCGAAATGAATCAAAGTTTCAGAGATGATTTTAACCAGTTAAGTCGTTTCAGTGTTGAAGTTCATTTGACTGAATATAAATCAAATGCTGTATTTAAATGATCTGATCTCGTTCCTCAGACCGTAGACGTGTCATAGAGCCTGTAGAAATATAAAGCTGGCCTCTCCTCTGCTCTTCTCTTTATAATTACATTTTCTGAACAGCACTCGTGCAGACAGGCGCTCTGTCTGCCTTTTGTCATGAGTCCCACCTCCCCCTCCGCCTCGGTTGTCATGGCTACACGTCATTGTTCTGTGTCCAGGTCGGGTTAACGGCTTCCATCTCATTTCCGTCTCGTCACACAGAGGACCAGCAGACTGGACACAGATGTGCGTTAGAGACGGAGCAGAGGGTTCGTTTCACACAGGTTGATGGTGTTTTGCTGTCGGAGGATTTACACCCCTGCACAGGTTCTCCAGTCTCTGTGGGGGGGGTCAGGAGTCTCATTAATGTGTGCTGACGGCCCTGTGCTGCCGGTAGCCCAGCACTTCCAAAATACACAATCAGCTGGCAGCACATTGCATAGCTTTATTTTTTATCCACGTCACCTTTGATGGACACCTATCAGCTGGGTGGAGCTAACATGACACACTCCAGTGACAAACAGCAGCTAGTAGTTGTGACAGTGCAGGTGAGCCTTACACCTGACCTGCCACTAGCCTGCTCACACACACGCGCTGTCAGACTGACCTGTGTCGTATGCGGTCACTTCCTCAGTGTGTAGCTGTGATACAGTGCATGGCCTGTGTTCCAGGTGGAGGTTGAGGTCTACAGGAGGGACTCTAAGAAGCTGCCTGGCCTTGGTGACCCCGACATCGACTGGGAGGAGAGCGTCTACCTGAACCTCATCCTGCAGAAGGTAAGCGCACTTTCAAAACCTCACTGAGCTCATTAGTCACTGGTCACCGCCGTGACGGAGGCTCATATTGTTCTATTACTGCGTCCTGGAGACGGCCAGATCCAGGACGTCAGCTGTGATTCTTCCATGTCACACTAATGGAGGCTGCTGGAAACGGGCTCTGTCTCAGTCAGTTGTTGTAGTGTGCAGAGGGTTCTTTGCACTTCATGTGGATAGTGTGGCCTCACATACACAGGTGTGTGTGTGGCGTCCTCGGTCGTGTCCAGTCAGTTCAATTCTCCTCCAGCTGACTCCGCAACTCGACTAAAGCGAACGAACGGGATGCACCTGAGCACAGTGTCCACACCACAGAAAAGGGTCTGTTAACATGTTTTATCTTTAGAATCACGGGGTATCGTGTGTAGACGGCCAATGAGCAAATTTACTTCCTGTTTAATTAAACATGTAACAGGTGAAAGAGCCTGAGTAAAACCGCTGCTTGTCTGTCAGATTCTCTTCTTTGTTGTCAATCGCTGAACAAGGCAGATAGTGATTTGTTTTGTGCACTGGTGGTGCCCACAATCACCTGAGACGTCTTATCTTCCAGCTGGACTACATGGTGACGTGTGCTGTGTGCACGCGCTCAGAAGCAGGAGATATCCACATCCACAAGAAGAAGTGTCAGGTAGGAAACCATACAAACTCCACAGCAGCTGAAACATTGCCAGCACAGCAGTGTTCCAGTTGGCTCTTCCTAATTTGTCTCCGCAGGTGTTAATTAAACTGTTGATCTTTGTTCTGGGTTTCCGCTCTTCACAGGAAGTGTTTGCGTCTCCCAGTAAACATGCCATGGACAGCAAAGGGGAGGAGTCCAAGATGAGTTACCCAAACATCTTCTTCATGATCGAGAACTTTGAGGAGGTAAACGCACATCCTGCTGTAACCAGCTCTGAACAAGATTATTAAAATCTCCCGACCTACGGCTACCCTGTGTAAAATACTGATATGGAGTCACCCTCAGTAATACACGTGTCTACGCAGCGAGGAACCACAGCAGCTGATGTGTCTCCTGATTGAGTTGATGCTGCCGCTGTAATGAAGTGACTTGATGGTTTTTCCCTCCATTTACAAACGGGCTCGTTTTACAGATTGACCAGAGGGAAGAGCACCAGCTCACACAGACTTGTCTCCGGGGAGGGAATCGCTGACTGGTTTTTGGTGCTGAGAGGCGAGAAACGAGCTGCACGCTGTGTCGTCAGCTCCACGGCAGCCATTCAGTTTGTGTCTACCCACACGCAGAAAGACGGGGGGATGGCGTGAACATTGAACAACTGGAGGTGATGTTGTGATACTGTGTTTGTGCAGGTGTTCAGTGACATGACAGTGGGTGAGGGGGAGATGGTTTGTGTGGAGCTGGTGGCCAGTGACAAGAGCAACACCTTCCAGGGCGTCATCTTCCAGGGCTCGATCCGCTACGAGGCCCTCAAAAAGGTCTACGACAACCGGGTGAGGAACAGCAGCCAAAGACCAGAAATCGTCACCAACCCGTGCACATACATGCAAACTACTGACACCAGTGTTACCAGCCCAGTCAGATGTAACATTAAAGTGAGCCCCCCCCCCAGGAAACCACCAGTGAGACAGGATCTTAAATTGTCGCTACTTCCTGCTCACGTCAGCGTTCAAAGTTAATTGTGAATGTTTCTTATGAATGGTTGGTGCTAAATAATGCTCCTATCGGTCAGTCGGTCATTCAAGGTAATCAAATATAAATTTAAGAAGCAGAGTGGTGTGTGTGAACCGTGACTGAACTGGCAAGTCAGTGTTTGTCTTCGTTCTGATGGTATGTGTGCGCTGCAGGTGAGCGTCGCAGCCAAGATGGCCCAGCGCATGTCTTTTGGCTTCTACAAGTACAACAACATGGAGTTTGTGAGGATGAAGGGTCCACAGGGCAAAGGTCACGCCGAGATGGCCGTCAGCAGGGTCCCGACAGGCGACACCTCCCCCTGTGGCACCGAGGAGGACCAGGTGTCACCCATGCATGAGAGGGTGAGGAGAATAAACGCACATTGGTTGTTTGACAAATCACAGGTGATGTCGAACAACAATCTCTCAGCCTGCTGTTCGGTCGCCTGCAGATTCTCTGGTTTCTCCAGACTTCCCATTTTAATGTTTACAACTTGAGGCGGTTTTCAAAGCCAGTGAGGGAAGTGATGACTATTTTGGTTTCTGTTCCTCCTGTCTTTCTGTAGCCACAGAGAAAGAGCAGAACAGAAAATCCACACAAACTAAGTTGCTCCCTCCAGAGATCAGATCAGGTCCTGATCAATAACAAATGCTGCTGTCAGTAGTCACACTGACGTCTGGAGGGACTGGCTTTGTCTGGTGCTAAATCAATATGTTTTGGCATTTCAGACTGTGTATCGGACAGAAGAAAGTCATAGAAAGATGTCAGCGATTCAGTTGATAAACCAGCGGATCAATGACAATCATCAGCTTAATCAATAATGGACACAAATAGTTGCATCTGTTGTCCAGATTTGGTTTTCACATTTCTCTGCTCACCTCGAATCTCAGTTTGACACCTGGACATACCTGCAGGGTTTATGACATCACCAGCAGTCTGGAGCCAATCAGGGCCCAGTACGAGGCAGTGGTGGAACGCAGGACATTTACTCAAGGAAACGTACATGAGCATTATCGGCTAAGTCGCCTAAAGTACTAAAGGTAGAAGTGCTCCTGTTTGATAAATGTTAAGACGAGTAACCAGCTACCAAACACCATCGGCTGCTTTCTGTTTGTCGTCTGTCGTGTCTTACAAGTGGAATTCCCTGTTTTCCTGCAGGTGACGTCCTTCAGCACTCCTCCAACCCCGGAGAGGAACCGCCCCTCCTTCTTCTCTCCGTCCCTCAGACGTAAAATGCCTCGAAACCGGATCGCTGAGATGAAGAAGTCTCACTCTGCCAACGACAGTGAGGAGTTCTTCAGGGAGGAGGAAGACGAAGGTAAAAGCAGTGGGACAACTGGTCAGACTGGTATTCCACCATGATTCCTCTGTGTCTGCTTTAGCTGTATCACTACTAATACTTTTGTGCCCAGTGCAGGAGAATCTCTGTACTGTGGTATTACTACTTTTACTGCACTGTTGATGAACTCAGCATGTTTGTGTTTGTCAGACCTTCACCCCGCCACCAACCTCCGCTCTCGCTCCCTGTCGGGCACTGGTCGCTCTCTGGTCGGTTCCTGGCTCAAGCTGAACCGAGCTGAGGATTACTTCCTGCTCTACTCTCACCTGACCTACGTCACGCTGCCACTGCACCGCATCACCACAGGTCAGAGGTCAACACACAGACGTTTCTAGACAAAGGCTACACTGTGCTTTAAAATAGAAACATACAATTATGAGACCAAAGCAGTTTGATGCTACAGCTGGTTGAGTGTATAAAACAGGATCAGAACACCAGGCGTGTTACGCAAAGGGCATCAGACTTGTTTTTGTACTGTGTGCACAGCCGCAGTAAGAGTAGGTCAAAGCATTACAGATTTTTATACCAGACCGTTTGGGTAACTTTTCGTCTTCTTTTCCAAATACATTTGTCTAACCTGCAGGTTTGATAGGCAAATGTCCCACTGTTATTATGGACATGTGAACTAACCACAGACACTACTGTGAGCCGCAGATGCTCGGCCATCCTGCGTTATTATAGACACATAAACTAACCACAGGCACTGGACCGCCCCACCGTCAGCACAGACACGTGAACTAACTGACCGACTCTTTCTGTGTGCCAGACATCCTGGAGGTGAGGCAGAAGCCCATCCTGATGACATAGTAGAGCTGCACCCTCAGAGCATCACTGCCAAGTGCCTCCCGCATCAGGCCACTGAGACGAACAGCAGTGCCCCCCGGTGTTCACACTGAGACGACACCCAGACACCTGCTGGAGATGCAGTTGGAGGGATGACGACAAACACACAAACCAGCCATTCAAGAAGTGCCTCTTCTTTTCAGTTCCTGCTGTGTCAAAGGTTGTCTCCACAGAAATGGGCTCGGCCCCGGGGTCACATGATGTCAGTGTGAAAAGGCATTGGCTGAACTCTGACCAGGAAGGAGGAGGAGGAGGTGAAGAATGTGTTTCTCTTGTAAATATCCTGCTGCTTTACTCACTGAGACGCCTGGACCTAAGGTTGTGCTTTTAATGACACCGTGTGTATGTGTTCGGCTCGTAGTGGACTTAGTGTTCCTTCCTTTAATGCGGCGGCAGGTATTGGACTCGTTTGTAAATGTCAGATCTACAGACCAGGTGTAATGTCAGAGACGAGGTCAGTCGGGCCACGTTCATCTGCTTAGACGCATTTACTCACTTAATTACAAAGAACTCTCCGTGTTTAATTCACAGATATTACTCTTAAGTACTTAGTCTCTGAATATATTACCACCACAACAACCGGCACATTTAAGAACCTGTAACCAGCAGCTAGTTGGTATTTTACTTAAGGAAATGACAGAAGAGATGAAATGATTTTCTCAGTTGCTCTGAGGCGTTTTAGGGCCAAAAGCTGGATTTGATCGCTCCACCAAAACATCCACAGCAACACGAAAGAAGAATGTTTGACAAGCTTTAATTACTAAAACAAGTAAAATAGTTTTTACTCAAAAAAAATTTAAGGCGGCCCAAAAATCTCAGCAGAAGGTGGGGCAGTAGGTGAAATCTATATTAAAACTGAAAACAGTGATGACCAACTGTGTTTGAAATGTGTTGCAGCATCAGGATTGAAGCAAGTGTTTGTTCTGAACAAAGAAAGTTGATGTGTCACTTTAAATAACATGCTGCTGTGTTGTTGGGTGTAACACAGGACCAGTTTACACATCACTGTTTTCAGGTTTAAATTAGATTTTACAGACCGTCCCAACTTTTTCCGATTTGCAGTTGTAGATGACAGATAATGTTTTGGGGCCACTCGCTGGATTCGATCGTACAAACAGAATCTATGACGGAATTCCTGTAGTGACTCAACTTTAAACACAATGAGTTGGTTTCCTTGTAAAATGACCTAAAATGGGTTCAGAGTTCAAGCAGGAGCCTGTGTCCAGAAGTGATTTGGTCTGATTATGACTTGATGACAAATGGGCACAGTGTTTCTAACACTGGTTACTGACACAAGCTGAGAGCGAAACCTGATTAGTCATCAGTATCTGATCAAATCCAACTCTTGTCAGGTTTGTTCTTGTTGTGTTCAGGGAGGGTTTCCACAGGTTTGTTGTGGATTAGCTCCAGAGCTCTGGGCCCGTGAAGAACCCGACTAAGGACACGTTTCATTTGCTGCCATAATGGCTCAGCGGTTTACCGCCCAGATCAAGTCCTTGTTTTTAGTTTGGGCTGCTGAGCGTTTTTATTATTCTAGCCCAGCACAAACAAACTCAGCTGTGACCCGACAGCGTTTTAAAACTGGAGCTGTGCTGTGTGAAGCTGCTGTAGTCGACATCCTGCGGCTCTTCTCCACCAAGTTAAACAACTCACAGCAACCCAGCTTTGACTTTTTACTGGTTTTAGTTTAAAAAAAAAAACTCAACTGGAGGTGACTTGAAAAACTTCTGATGTAACAACAGTGACTATTTCAAGGAGAAACTGGAGGAAACACCTTGAGACAAAACAAAAGGAAGCGAGCTGCATGTGGACAGGTGTGGCAGTTCCTGGTTTCTCTCTGTGCTCCTGAAGCCTTAAATCTGTTTTCAACTTTGTTTCTTCATGACACGTTCATTTAAACAAACCTGAAACACGAGACTGTGTCTGAAACGAGCAGCAACTGTTGGCAGAATCCATCAGTGACTAAGCTGGTCTGAGATCGGTTGTCTGTAAAATGTCCACAACATGTGTTCAGGATGTTATTAGTCTGAAACTGTCTGTTTTCCTCCCTGGGTAATGAGCCAAGAGAAGAAGAAGAATCGGCTCTCACCAATCTGTGGTTTTATGAATTCTTAAAGTTTAACAAAAATCTAAATCTGTCAATCAGCAAAGCTTCATTTTATTTAGTAGTGAAGATTCAGTCATAAAATCTGTGGACTCAGAGTCGTTTGGCAGAAAACCGATACACAACGGTGTGGATCATTCTCAGTCTTCCAGTGATTTTGTGACTTCTTTTTCCAAAGTATTTAGGCCATAAAAATAGGAAACAGTATTTTACAAGAGTAAATCACAACAGCATGAGAATGTAGTGCTTCTTGTGAAACTGCAGCCTTTATCCTTAAACCAAGACGAGTCAAATATCAATCAAGTCACTGGAAAACTGATTCTGATTGGTTTTCAGCATCTCATGTTCAGTTGATCAGCAGCGGAGTTCAGGCCAAGTTATTGATCCGATATCTGTGATTGCTTTGCACTCGGAGAGGAAGTCATCCTCGCTCAAACAGGGCAGTGTTTGAACAGTGAACTGTTCCACAGGGCACTGGGTGTGTGTCCCCTCAGTGTTACCAGTTTCTCCAGGCGAGTGTCTCCACGCTGATCAATAGCAAAGACTAAGTGTCGCCATTTGGTATGACAGCACCAGGACAGTTTGCACTGTACGCTTCTAGAACCTTTCTGAAACCCTTTGTTGACCTGGTCTCAGCTTTTGTACACACACAATTTACATGCATGTTCTTCTGTTACTCAAAACTGTGTGTACATTCTCTTGCATTTATTTATTCAAATACACATTAGCAGAAAAACCGATGCCTGTTGTCGTCACTGACCTCGACCTCATTCTCTGTGCAGTTTAACGCTTTTAAAAAGAACATTTACTTCATCACGATGACTCTGGTCTTTTGCAGGACGCCGTGTCCAGCTGCAGCGCAGGGATTCGGTCATAAACTACTGGACACACAAAACTTTGACCTGAAGGTGGCGCTGGATGAAAAGGCACAATCGGTTATTCCCGTTCATCCCGAGGGGAATGTGAACATCTGCAGCACATGTCAAACAGCTGCTGAGATGTTTAGCTCTGAATTAAAGTGAAGACTTTTACATCATTTTCAAACTCATCTTCTTTGATGAAACTTCACAAAGCCCTCTGAAACAAAACATCACATTAAGTTTCCCTCCGTTCGCATCAGACATCTTGTTCCTGAGTAGAGTGAATTTCGGTCCTGCAAAGAGAAAACACGCAGCCGCAGTCGATTGTTTCCTTTTATTATTCCCAAGTAAATGTCTTACAAATGTTGTCAGACGATGACAGCATGCCTCATGTCGAAGGCTGAACCGAAGGCCACACAAAAGGACAGTTGGAAAGCAATAGAGTTCATGTTTACAGAACCAGAACAACAGAACTGGTGTTTCACACCACACCCAGAAGCCTCAGGAGAAACATTCACACCAGGTTCAATCATCCAGTACAAATCCTGCCCACACAATAAATAGCAAACACTCAGCAGACACGTTCGTCACGGGTAACCGTCACTGCGAACATTAAATTTGTAAAACCAAATCGACTGGACCTTTATTTGGAGCGTTCCCCAAACCAACCTCAGTGGTAGATGTCACACGTTCACTCACAAATTAAAAGAGTAAAACTTAAACACCGAGACTATTAAGATGCGGCGTTCTGTTTCTCGAATAAAACAGCAGTGTCGAACCAGAGGGAATATCCTAAAGTTCAGGACTAAAAACTAACTCAAGATTTCACAGTATGGTGACCAATTTATAGCGAGGAAACGGCTGAGTTGGGTGCAAACGTGTGTGGAGGGTCTGAGGATGACCAGTGAAGCCTGCTGAAAGCTCGGGGTTCAGCCTTTCTTCTCCTCCAGGATCTTGTGGAGCTCATCAGCGTCCTCGGCGGTTTTGACCCGGATGAGGAGGGGGACGGGGCTGCTGGGGCTTTTGTCGTCGACCGGCGGGTTGGGGACGCACACCACCATCACGTTGTTCTTTCCCACCCGAGAGCATGGCATGGATGCCGGCACCATGATATTGAGTAGGATGTTACCTGAGGAGGAGGAGGGACACACAGATCTTCCATAAGTGTCACTACTCAAGTTGTGGTTCATAAAATGTCAACAACCAGGGTTCGGCCGCTTGCGATTTCATCTGCTTGGTTTAATACGTGTTCCCAAAAGGGTCAGAGGTCCCTAGCCTGCCGTTTCACATGTTTACAGGTATTAATAAGACACCTGAAGCTGTTCACCGTTTTCCTGCTGGACTGCAGCAACAAGTCTGATGGAAACGGGCTCAGAGGACGGGGCCCGACTTGTTCCTGCAGCTCAGTCCACATTAGCTTCAGTCATTATGTGACTTCTGTGTTTTCTGCCTATTATCTTGTATTTTCTTCTGCTACTTTCTTTCTTGTCGCCTCTGGTACACGAGCTGATCCTGAGTTTGAGCAGCAGGAGGCGCCGTCTGACCACAGCTCTGCAGCCTCCTGCTGGTTTCTGTCTGAGAGTCTGTGTATGGGGCTTTTTAAATACATCTATGTGGATTTAAATGACTTCTCAGCTCCAGATTTGTGATGAATCTTATCTGCACCTGCAGTGCACGGACAATGTGCACAAAGAAATGGCTACTTGTGTCACTTAAGCACAAGTACCAAAAATACACTGACTCCTGCTTTGAAAATGTGAAAATCTGATGCCTTTCTCCAGTTTAAATGGACACAAGTGCAACATTTTGGGCTTTAGAACACAAGACATGAAGACGTCACCTCAGACTCAGTAAACTGACGAGTCAGTAAAATGTCATTTATGGTCAAATGTGTAAGATGTGATCTAACGACGGCTCCCTCACGAAAGCCTCTGTTGCCTTCTCTGGTTAAAAATGCTGAACTTTATTTGCACTTTAACTCGATTCTGATTTTCCGCAGACTCAACATGTCACAGCCTGTGACCAGTAAGGCAGAGTTAACTGTTTTACCCAGGTTGGTGTCAGCGCGAACGATCATCTGAGTTTTTCCCTCTGCTGTTCGTTTCAGGTGAAGAGTTCCCACTCCTTTGTCTTTGAATTCAGAGTCCTTCTTGTAGAACATTTTACACCTGAGGACAACAAAAACAAATGTTATGTGGACAAAGGCATCAGGCTGAGCTTCATAGTGATGGTTTGTACAAAGCCAAAGAAGAAACGTCACGGTTTTAATACAATGTGCAGCTCCAGTGTGGAGCAGTCATTACCCTACAGTCTCCGGGCTAAAATTTTTTTTTTTTTTTTTTTTTTTTTTTAATGGAACCTGGTTAAAGAAACGTTATTTCTAATGGGAAGAATGTGAGACACTTTATTCTCTGATCTCTTCCCTTGTTACAATCCTACATACAAACTTTGGTCTGAATTCTGGGTTTTAATTCAAGACAAGTTATTTTTTATATATGATCAGTTATAGTTCATTAAAATTTAATCCCAAAAGGGACACAACAGAAACCTGAGGGGTCAGGAAAATGATGAATGTGTGTGAAATATTAGAAGGTCTGACTCCTGAAACAACCAGAGCAACCAAAATGATTCAAACGTATTAAACCTGTGCATGAAGATGTGCTTCATTTTAATGGGGCTGAAGGCTAAAGGGTCGGGAACCACCGCGCTGGGAAATGATTCTGTTCAGCTGATCACAAAAAACCCCCGCACCCACAGGTCTCATTAAAACTAAATTCCAGCTTTTAATGGTTCAGACTGGTGGTAAACTGATTTGACTTCACTTCAGACACACACAGCCGACTTACTTCTTGGAGTAGAAGGCGTCTTCCTCTTTCACCTCTTTGACCTCGGGTTTGGGCGGCTCCTCATCTTCATCTCCGTTCTCGTCTGCAACAGGAAAATGTTTCATCAGAGCTGAACCGGTCAATCAATAAGTCAACTGATAGGCATGATTTTCACAATGGATTGTTACTGGTTCCACCAGTTTAAATGAGAACGCACTGTTTCTGACTTTAATGATAAATTAAAAATCACTTGGGTTTGAGCCTGTGGGTAAGTGCTCCTATTGGCTGACACTATAGAGCCGGCAGTTAATCAGGAAGCTAATGTGTGGATCCGGTGCTCACGATTACAATCAGTAGTTGCAGCCTGACATTTAACAGTTTGATTCACCTTTTTAAATTTAAAAACAAGTCGTCAACCTGCCAATAGCTCTGGAGTTTAGGAAACGGTAAAGACTCAGCTCTGCGTTCAGTTTACAGCGGTATAATAGCAAAGGAACCGACACCAGAGAATGATCTGCTACAACAATGAAGCAATTAACTCGAAACAGGTGCAATAGTTAATTAATTGACATTCAAATTTTACAGCCCAAACTGAATGTCTCTGGACTGCTGGCTACTTGGGTCTGGTGTTTAACTTTGACATTTTTCAGATCTGCAGCACGTCGGCTTCCTAATAAATATAACTCATATCTTTTGCAGATTTAATTTCCTGGAGTTCACACAATGATTTAAGATTTTAGTCAACTGACAGAAAAATAATCGGCAACTATTCATTAATGGATTAAATATTGGCTATTTTTTATTCAAATCAATGAGCGGTTTATCATTTTTCTGTGCACTACTTGTTCCAGCTCTTAATCCATCTACAGATTAATTGATCTTTAGCTGCAGCACTTATTAGAAGTCCTGTATGCTTCCCTGATGATCACCATCTTTCTGAATTAGGAGGTTAGAGACACGTCTCTCTGCTTCCTGTGAACACCCGTGTACCTGTAGACTGAGCGCCCTCAGCTTTCGTCCCACTACAGGACAGAGGCGCAGTGGATCCTGGAGCTCCAAACAGGGAGGTCTGGCTGGAGGAAGTGCTGGAAGAGGAGGAGAAGGAGAAGCTGGGGGTCGTCGTCTTGGACCCTAAGGAGCTGAGAACTGAGCTGTCCACCTTCTGACCGAACTTAAATGTGACACCAGCGGGGACCGGCGCGGCGGCCGAGTCTTCTGTCGTATTTTTACTGAAGGAGAACAAAGCTGCGGATGGAGCTGCTGAGCTGCTGCTGCTGGAGGAGGGCAGTGGAGGAGGAGGGGGG